TATGTTTTACCCCCTCTAAAAAATCAAGTTCTATTGTAAGTTAAGCATTTATTTAAATCAAATGGTACTGTAAGTCATGAACTATTGTAAGCTAAGCTTGTTTGTTTGAAATTAAGCACAAAGCTACACAAAGGGCTATCTGTGCTCTGCCCACCACGGGTATCGAAACCCGGTTTCTAGCGTTGTAAGTCCGCAGACACACCACTATGCTACTGGGGGGCGTAAGCTAAGCACTACTGTAAATCAAATGGTATTGTAAGTCATGAACTATTGTAAGTTAAGCACTTCTGTAAATCAAATGGTATTGTAAGTCATGAACTATTGTAAGTTAAGCACTTCTGTAAATCAAACGGTAATGTAAGTCATGAACTATTGTAAGCTAAGCACTACTGTAAATCAAATGGTACTGTAAGTCATGAACTATAGTAAACTAATCACTACTATAAATCAAATGGTACTGTAAGTCATGAACTATAGTAAACTAAGCACTACTGTAAATCAAATGGTACTGTAAGTCATGAACTATAGTAAACTAAGCACTACTATAAATCAAATGGTACTGTAAGTCATGAACTATTGTAAGTTAAGCACTACTATAAATCAAATGGTACTGTAAGTCATGAACTATTGTAAGTTAAGCACTACTATAAATCAAATGGTATTGTAAGTCATGAACTATTGTAAGTTAAGCACTTCTGTAAATCAAACGGTAATGTAAGTCATGAACTATTGTAAACCAAACACTACTGTAAATTAAGAACTATTTTATTCTGTCTCTAATTATTTGTGCCTTATGAATGTGATGGTGTGTTAAAAAATGAAACATCAATTTTAGAAAATATAAGTTATTTACAAGTCTTCAAATATCAGGATGATTTTAAATGTTCTTCAGTAATATTACAATATCAGAACGATTTTAAATGTTCTTCAGTAATACTACAATATCAGAACGATTTTAAATGTTCTTCAGTAATATTACAATATATGTCTAATGGAAATAAATTTAAATAAAAACAACATCCACCATTATTTGGTTGTTTCAAAGCAATACGTTGTCATATAAAATCTTAATGAATAACATGACATGATTTAAACTTGTTTTTAACAGGCTAAGAGTTATTATCTGTAGTGAGCCAGCAAATTATTAAGATTTAATAAAAAGGTTTTTTAGTAACTCGATCTAGAGAAGTGAATAAAGAAAATTCAAATATTTAAGCCATATTTTAGTAGTTTGTTTGTAATTAACCACAAAGATTTACAATGGGCTATTTATGCTCTGCTCGTCACGGGTATCGAATCCACGTTTTTAGTGTTGTAAGTCCGAAGACATACTGCTGTGCCACTGAAACAAAACTTCTAGTACTCTAGGTGTAATCTTTTACTATCTACGACTTCTTCAAATTCCGAGCGCCCTTCAAGTGTGGAACTCAGAAAAAAAAGTTGATTGTTTGTTTTTTAATTTCGCGCAAAGCTACACGAGGGCTATCTGCGCTAGCCATCCCTAATTTAGCAGTGTAGGACTAGAGGGAAGGCAGCTAGTCATCACCACCCACCGCCAACTCTTGGGCTACTCTTTTACCAACGAATAGTGGGATTGACCGTCACATTATAACGCACCCACGGCTGAAAGGGCGAACATGTTTGGTGTGACAGGGATTCGAATCCGCGACCCGCAGATTGCGAGTCGAGTGCCCTAACCACCAGGCCATGCCGGGCCCAAAAAGTTAGAAAGATTAGATATTCCTTATTTATATTGTGTAGTTTATTCCGTGTAAAATATTCAAGAAACTATACTGGCCGCAAGGAGTATAAAACATTTTATGGTATGAGTCAATATTGTTCTGTAGTTTTTGGTGGAATGTGTCCCTTGTTTAAGCTGTGACGTTCGTAACTAAGTAATGTTATTTTGTTTGTTATTCTAGCAGGTGAGAAAACAAATATGCCTTCAAATCCTGACGTCAGACCTTAAATTCAGAATGGTAAACGTGCTTTTACTTGGAAAAGTAACTTAGAAAAAAGTTCACCGAATTCAGTATCATAATAACCCGAGTACGTAAAGAATTATATAATTTAATTTAAACAGGACATTGAAGCAGAAAAACACAGAAACGATAGTATTAACTGTTGTTACGAAAAAACAGACATGTAAAGGCCTTTTAGAGATTAGAGCTACTATGTGTGTGATAAAACACCATAGGAAACCAGCAATTTTTGTAGAGTTTAAAGTTGTGGAGTATGCAATAAAACACCATAGGAAACCGGCAATTTTTGTAGAGTTTAAAGTTGTGGGGTGTGTGATAAAACACCATGGGAAACCGGCAAGCCTTTTAGAGTTCACAGCTGTTGGGTGTGTGATAAAATAAAATATCATGGGAAACCGGCAAACCTTTTAGAGATTAGAGCTGTTGAATGTGCAATAAAATACCATCGAAAACCGCTAAGCCTTTTAGAGTTCAAAGCTGTTGGGTGTACGATAAAACATCACAGAAAATTGGCAAGCCTTTTAGATTTTAAAGCTGTTGAATATGTAATAACACACCATGGAAAAGCGCCAAGCTTTTTATAGTTTAGGGCTATTGAGTGTGTCCCACTGGAAATCAAGAAAGCTAGTTAGAGCTTTGGGCTGTTGAATTTGTGATAAAACACCAAGGGAAAGCAGGAAAGCCATTTAGAGCTTAGACTTTTTGAATGTGTGTGATGAAATATCTTCATTGAAAGTAGATTCGTCTTCATTTGTTTTTAAAAGATACAAGCACTGAGCTTATTTTTAGTTTGAAGTTGGAAAGAAAATAACTCGTAGCTTGATTATTTATTGTTTCGAAAATTGAAGCAGACCATCTTAATCTATAATCTAAAATGTTGGTGTTACTCCTGGAAAGCTTTTCTTTCTTGTTCTTGATTATGTTTAATGATGTTTCACTTATATTATAACAGAGATCTGAAAAGGTGAAAAGTAAAAAGTAAAGAAATAAAAAAGAAAACTTTTCAGGATTAAAGTTAGACCAACCTTGTAGACTTTGTTATATAACTGGTGTTTAAAAACGCTGTATTTTTATGTGCTTTTGAGGTATTATTAAATTAGTTGTAGAGACACGAAAAACAGTCAGGTGTTACTTCTCTAAATTATTTTTAAACCATTTTCTCGAATTAAATGTTATTATAATGTAGGGTCAACTGCTATACTTCGATATATTAATTTAGTTTATTCCTATATCTATAGAAGGCAAGACAGTACAATTATTAGCGTAAAAATACGAAACGTTTTATATATTTGACCAGTGACCTTCAAACATGTACTTTAAGGATGTATCCGTGTGTAATGTCAACACTGGCATTTATCAGTGACCTTCAAACATGTACTTTAAGGATGTATCCGTGTGTAATGTCAACACTGGCGTTTATCAGTGACCTACAGACATGGACTTTAAGGATGTTTCTCAAAAATGCGTTTGTATTGCATTAAGGTATATATTTCTTTTTACTCTGTTTCGGTTAATGGAACGAAATAGTTTGTGAAACATTTATTCAACAATGTGTTCTCAAATATTCAGTTCATTAGTAAAACCTGTGGAAAAAGAGGGGGGTTTCAAAGCAAAATCTAGATTATTACTGAAAACAATGTAATTTTTACACACATGCTACTACGAATATCTATAGTGACGTCACAGTAGCTTCAGGTGACGTCACTTGCAAGGGAAACTGTCAGCTACGCTTTAGTAAGAACGTATAGTGCCTATTACCATTAAGGTATTTATTATTGTTTAGGGATTTTTGACGGACTGTGAAGTTTCAAGTTTTTCTAGCTGTTAAGCAGAAATAAAATATAATTTTAAGGCCATTTAGTAGAGTTCAATTATATTTTGTTGATCGTTAAGTAAATATAAACGGTTTTTTTTTGTCGTTATGTAGAAGTATATATTTCGCCGGTCGTTAAATTGAGGGAAAATATATTGTGCGCGCTGTTTATTAAAGTTCAATATTATACTTTGTTAAACGTTAAAGAGGGCGGACTTACAACGCTAGAAACCGGGTTTCGATACCCGTGGTGGGCAGAGCACAGATAGCCCAATGTGTAGTTTTGAGCTTAACTTCAAACAAACAAACTAACTAACTAATGTTAAAGGGGTAAAACACCCCCCCCCCCCCAGTGGCTCAGCGGCAAGTCTGAGGGAATATAACGCTAAAAACTTGTTTTTGATAGCCGCGGTAGACACAGTACAAATAGCCCATTGTGTAGCTTTATGCTTAACAACAAACTAAACAAAGGGGTAAATATATTTTGTGTTCATTATAATGAGGTAAATGTATTTGTTATTAGATTAATAAGGGCAAGTGCATCTTTTTCGTCATTAAGTACAATTAAACCATTCTTTACTTTCTTTTACGAACAGGCCCGGCATGGCCAGGTGGTTAGGGCGCTCGAGTCGCAATCTGAGGGTCACGGGCTCGAATCCCCGTCCCATCAAACATGCTCGTCCTTTCAGCTGTGGGGGCGTTATAAAGGTACGATCAATCCCACTATTCGTTGGTGTAGCTTTGCGCGAAATTCAAGAACAAAACAAACTGTTACGTAGAAGTGAATAATTGTTATTAGTTTTTACCCGATGTTATACCAGAACAACATATCATAATGTTTCTCAGGCCTAGGATTTAGACACCATCACAACATTTGATGTCTTACAAATAACACGTATACACAGCATTTCGATTGAGGCCTTGCGTGTTTTACATCCAGTTGTACGTGGTTTTTGCAATACTGAAACCTCGAGGTTGAACTGCTAATACATTCTTCTTACTGGACACCCGTACAGGAACAGTAAAGAAATATGTGATAGAAATTATTGTCAGTCTTTCTATGTATTGGTCGATAAATAGAATTAACTTCTGGGACACAAAAGATGGATGTAAATCTGGAGTGTACAAGTTAAAAGAAGTGTGTTAAAAAATCTCCACTCCAATGTGGTTTCCACTGTGGATGTAAGGCCTATTGGAGTCCAATTATTCGTCATATTTCAGCGTTTAAACTAGTACTTTAAACTTCTTGCCTGGACTTTTAAATAGCATTTTAGATAAACTATCTCTCGTTATCCGTCCCAGCTGATGAACGAAAGACCTACTTAGCAGTAAACTGAAGATAGGCCTGAAATGCTTTACATACCACTGGTATTAAAGCTGCAATGCATAAATTAAAAGGAATGTGAAAGAAAATTGTGGTATAAGTGCTTATAATCAGAAATATTAGTCTATTGTATTTTTTTGGTTGTTAAGTATAAACATTATACTCAGGAAGAACAAGTATATTGGTTTATGAAGGCTAAATTTATATATTGTGGCTAACTTGATTTACGAAAGACGAGTATGTTGATTTGAGGGAATTAAATTTACGTGACTCACATATTATCTTTGTTTTTAAATTCTTGGTTTTGCTATTACCGGGTTAGATCCCAGAGTTGGAGACTGGCCTCTTATGCAGAGCCCATGGCCTACACTTACGCTTGTCTTCTGCTACGTGTACTTCGTGAAAGTTGTTGGCCCTGCTTGGATGAAGGATAGAAAACCTTTTTACCTTAGAAAACTGATGGTGGTCTACAACTTTACCATGGTTGTCGTTAACGCCTGGCTTTTCATACAGGTAAAATAATTTAAATTTTAGCTTGGTTTTTAATTATTGTTGTCGTAAGTGCCCGACTTTTCGCACAACCTATAGGTAGTAATATCTTAGGTTCAGATTTTAACTTTAATTATGAACCATTTTTAAGCCTACATATACAGAATATGCTATAACCGTTAAAATGTTGTGTTCACTTTTCAACTATATTTATCTATAATGTCTAGCTTTTCATATAGAAAAAAATAATGTAAAATTTGAGAATATTTTTCATGTCTCAACTTGAAGAGTACCATATTAAATATTCAAATGTTATAATCACTCAAACTAAGTGGATTGCATCAACAAGAGAATATATATTTTAATAAGCCTAATATGATTTTACTGGACGAACCTGCAGATAATCAGTTATCATACCGAACATTTTAAAGTTTCAAATATTGATCTAACTTTTCATTGGTAAAGTTAGGGAGGCTAGGATGGTTCAACGAGTATAACTGGAGATGTCAGCCTGTGGATTATTCTGATAACCCCGAGGCTTTGCAGGTAAGACCTATGAGTCTAGTAGAATTGTATTTTTCTCTATAAATCGTGGTTTGGGTGTTTCGGCCAAGAAAATAATGATAACAATAAATTTATCTGTCGAAATACCTTTTTAAGTTTTCTTTTCCTCTAACCACAGCAGTGCGTCTCTTCTTCTAGGAACTCACTCAACAGTAACCAATCAGAATGCTTTTAACGATGGTCTTCAGTTGTAATAAAAATGACGTTTTAGTATAAGGAAAATTTATTAACTTCCCGTTCTGTTAAGAAAAAGAAAAACAAGGAAAATATATCAAGCTCTTACTCTGAAAACAATTCTGTATCTTCATATTTATCAACATATATCACGCATAAGGAAAGCTATTATTTATCGAGTAAAGTTTGATATTTAATATTCAAATATCTACATGTTTTCAAACAATATATTTTGAAATCCTATCTGTGTGCATTAAAGCCCTGGGAAACCAACAAGTAATTCTGAAATAGCTTCCAAAGTACTATAGTTTATTCAAATATTTCTCTGACTTACTACTAGTGAAATCAATCTGGTTAATTATTCTTTCACGAAATATGAAAAAGATAAATTTAAAACTGATGAAAACTACAAAGTAGCGTATATGAAATTATATTTAAATCGTGAAGACCACATTCAACTATTTGTAACTCTTCTTATAAGTGTGATCATATATTAAGATAACCACAAAGGCATGGCGTTGGCTTTTATACATTTAAACATTGTCTTCAAAACAACATACAACTCAATAACATGTACTGCTTTTGTTGTGTTTTTTCATTTTCACTCCTTAACAACGTTGGATGGTTGCTTTTAATTTTGATGCAGCTAACCTGTTTTCTTTTTATGTTTTTCCACTTTAATAATGCTGAGCATACGTTCAGCTACCATGTTTGAGAATGAAATAGAAAACATATTTATTAACTTGTATATAAACTGGAAAATTGCAAAGAACCAATAGGGAAATGTAAAGCGAGAACATATCTATGGAAATAACCACATCAGTGTTAGATTTTCGGGTAGCTCAACTGGACTTTGAACTCTGTACTCTTCGCCAATCTCAACAATTGACCAGTCTGAAAGAATCGGCTTTTTAAAAATGTTGGTTTAGCTTCTTATCAAAAGTTTCTGATTGGTGAATAGATATTGGTAATTTCTTCATGATTAATACGTCCGTCATTTGTTTTCATGTCTGTCTCTGCTCAGGTACATAGATATTCTTCGTTCAGATATACACGTAGTCTGAACAAAAGTTGAGTATCGTTTGGAAAAATAATCGTAAATGAAATGAGACTGCGCAATTTATAAGTGCAAAAAATATTTCAAGAACAAGTCCATGTTATGTATGTGTAGGGTCACGGTTTCTGTGACTGAAAAAGAACAAGTATGTTTGTATGTGTAGGGTCACGGTTTCTGTGACTGAAAAAGAACAAGTCTGTTGGTATGTGTAGGGTCATGGTTTCTGTGACTGAAAAAGAACTAGTCCACTGGTATGTGTAGGGTCACGGTTTCTGTGACTGAAAAAGAACAAGCCTACTGGTATGTGTAAAGTCACGGGTTTTTTAGTGAGAAAGAACAAGTCTACTGGTATGTGTAGGGTCATGGTTTATGTGACCGAGAAAGAACTAGTCTACTGGTATGTGTAGGGTCATGGTTTATGTGACTGAGAAAGAGCTAGTCTACTGGTATGTGTAGGGTCATGGTTTATGTGACTGAGAAAGAACTAGTCTACTGGTATGTGTAGGGTCATGGTTTATGTGACTGAGAAAGAGCTAGTCTACTGGTATGTGTAGGGTCATGGTTTATGTGACTGAGAAAGAACTAGTCTACTGGTATGTGTAGGGTCACCCGCGACCCTCAGATTGGGAGTCGAGTGCCTTAACCACCTGACCATGCCGAGCCTTTTAGATTTGATTCAAAAAAATTTTAGCTAATTTTTTGCCCTCGGGTTTTGCCCTATAGTCCTTAAGCCCCATTACTCTCATTCCTGAAGGTCTATAGAAAGTATATATATTTTCTAATTCTCACTTACTGAATGAACATTTGGTGGAGGTTTTCTGCCAGATACTCTTTTTCAATGCAAACATGGGAAGAAAAATACAAATCCGAGAATTATAAAAAAAGTTGAATTGAACTAAATTTGGGAAACGGGAAGAAGTATATGAATCAGAGAATATTGGAGAATTCGGAAAGTGAAAATAAGTTCAAATAAAACACAGGAAGAAAAAAAAACGAATCTGAGAAGCTAAATTAAATCTATTTGCTTTTAAAAAAGAGTTGAATTGAATTAAGTTCAGGAAATGACAACAAGTAAATCAAATAAAGAATTGGCGCATTGGGGTAATTATAGAAGTAATTAAGATAATGGATACCCATTGAGGCCCCAGTGAGTAATGAGGGGGCTTAAGAATCCCACAGTGAAGAATGGGTATTTTATGCTAGTATAAAATACAGAAATGGAGATATAAAACAGTATACCGTAAACTGAATAGTACTATATAATACAAAAATAGTGTTTTAAACAGTACTTCAATCGAAAGCTAATCCTGCTTTGTGGAGATATTTACAGTTTCGTTAAATTCAATGGAATCAGCTTAGCACTTATTAACATTAAATTGTATGGAATAAGCTTAATATTTATTAACGTTAAATTATACGAAATAAACTTAATATTTATATAACATAAAATTGTATGGAATAGGCTTAATATTTATTAACGTTAAAATGGATGGAATAGGGTTTCTATTCATTGACGAATGCCAGAAGATTTGTTATGAAGGTAAAGTTCTACTTGCAACCTTCAAACATCAAAATCATGTAGCGTCCAAACATCTAAACGATGTAGCGTCCAAACATTTAAACAATGTAGCGTCCAAGCATCCAAACCATATAGAGTCCAAACATCTAAATCATGTAGCGTCAAAACATCTAAATCATGTAGCGTCCAAACAATCAAACCATGTAGCATCCAAACAATCAAACCATGTAGCATCCAAACAATCAAACCATGTATCATCCAAACATTTAAACCAAGTAATGTTCAAAAATCCAAAGTATGTAGCGTACAAACATCCAAACCATGTAACATTCAAATCATGTAGCGTCCAAACATTCAAACCGCGTAGGGTCAAAACATCCAAAGCATGTAACATCCAAGCAGCCAAGACATGTAGCGTCCAAACATCCAAGCCGTGTAGCGTAGAAACACCAAACCCACCCATGTGGCGTCTAAAACATAAAAGCCGTGTAGCGTCCAAACATCAAACAATCAAACCAAGTAACATCATACCATGTACTG